TCTCATCGTCTCACTTTGTACTTCCACTCGATCGTTCGTTTTCGGCGCGCAACTCGGTACTAATCCGACAGAAGAAGTGAAGCAACGTACGGACTCAGGAGGAACATCCTCGGGGAAGACACTGATGGGGAGATCTGTTGTCGTATTGACGCTGGATGGACGATGATGACGCGAACACGATGGACAGCCCACAGTACACGACGCGTCAAGATATACACGGGTAAACACGGATCTCGGATGAAGAAAGACGTTTGGAAATACTACGTTAAATCACTCACCTTTTTGTGTCGTTGATCCAGACTAAGTGCAAGACACTAACGAAAATCGTTGTTCGAGGAAACGTTATGCTGGTTCGGTTGCAGGTTGTTTCCTCGACGGCTGTCGGGTGGCGAGTGGGTGGCAGGCGGGGTGGCGGGCAGAAGTGGGTGGCTCAGGCGGGTTGGGAGCAGTGGTGTGTGGGTGGTAGCGTGAGGGAACCCAATACCACCCTCCTCGCCCATTCAATCCTCCAGTATTAGGGGGAGCAGTCGAGCCTGTTTTCACTCCCCTCCCTCCCACCATACTCCCAACAGCCCACTACACACCAACAGCTGGCGACGATAGACCCGTTTCTACGTGTGTGTGTAGAGTCTGTCTTACATAGATATGCCTACACAAGGAGCATACGCGCCCTCGACGTCCCAGAAGGTGGCACCTCCCTCCCTACACGTGTTCACAACGCTATTCTAGAGGCGACTTGGTTCGTAAGAAAGGTGGAGTTGGAAAAAGCACGGAGAAGGAGGGAATCTCTATGAGGGGTTTTCAAATCCCTTCTTTGAAATCTTTAAAGAGATTTAATAGATGTATGTTTTTGAAGGTCTCTTTACCTGAGCTAGTAGCCCTTAACTTTTTTTAAACTTTACTGTATTTCTGAAGAGAAAGTTATGCGTTCAAAAATCTTTAGACGCCAGGGAACTTCTTGACAAAGGAAAAAAAGATTGAATGGATTAGTCACGCGTGATGCGGTCGTAAATTTTGATATCTTTAAGTTTGTAGTAGATATTAAAAACAAAATGCATTTTAACCGTACAGCTAATACAATCGTTTGTTATATTTGACCTCTAAAGAATATTGAACAAGGCTGTATTGATTCTAGACAAGATTATATTGATTTTAAACAAGGCCATGTTAATCGAATTTTTTATCACCTTTATATAAAGAATACAAATAAAAATTATTCTAAAAATTAAAATTTTTGTAACATTTTAAATAATATTTTATTCCAAGATAGACGAATGATACTAATATATATGAATAGAAGATTTTTAATGTCATTAATAGCTCTGTGTCTTTAGAAGCACCGCCGGGATATGCGTAAATGCAGAGCTAGTATACCCAAGGCAAGAACACTGATATCAGTTAGAAGTCTACTTCAGCCGATAAGCAAGCAGTCGACCAAACCGACTGTTCCTAGAACCAGTTTCGGTTCTGGGTCGGCATTCTTGGTTCCCTACCGAGAGTACGAGAGATGTTGTACCAGCACTACCAGCGCGCAGCGGCATTCGCCACTACGGCAACCTTCATTTACATTCCGCCCGGCGTTACCATGTGTAACGTTCCGTGACGCGGGTCTGAAATTAACTTCCACAGCGCCCCCGTCACTTCGTTATCATGCAGCTGGAGGCCGCCTCGCACACGAACGAGCGCGGATCATTCAACGGGAGCAACCGGAGATACATCTGCATCTGCATCCGAGTCGCAATTTAGGAACGATGGGGTGCATCGGGCCACTGCCGACGTGTCGCCCGTATTGATCTCTACCTCTGTTCAGACATTCCCTTACGCTCGCGCGTCGCCCGTCTCTTCCTTACGTAGACACGAGGTGGAAAAAAGAACTGACGGAGGGATGATGATGTCAGGTATTGGCCGCGGTCGCGTGATCGATCGGATGCCGCACCGCGGTCGGAAGGAGGAGGATGGTACTTTAGCGCGAGAGAAATTTCCGCTCTCGCACCACAAACGCGGAACTACTTAACTTAAAAGCCGCTAAAACGGCGATGTGCCAAGGACGGCCGCGGCGGTTTGGGGAAGGGGAAGGAAAATGAGATTTTCCATGAAAACGTTATATCCCTAAAATATATATGACAGGGGATTTCCATAAAAATCTAAGCACGGGTTTGCGACCACCACGACAATGCTTGCGTCTATTTATTTTTGCGTACAGGCGCCTCCTTTCAGAATGTGATGATATTTATAATTATAAAAGTGCCTTATATCCATATTTTGCAAAAATATCCTCACATCGTCGTTAACACAAATGCGTTTTGCTTTCGCTTTCTTCTAGTTCTCTTATATCACTTTTATTATTAGCTGTTTATTAATCTATTATTAACTGTGCTTTATATAAGATTTAAAGTTCATCGAGAGAAAGATAATTTCCTATTAAGAACTGACAGTTTTAATTTTCCGCTTGTTTAATATTAATTTTCACCGAAATTTTTACTGAGTAAATGAAACAAGAAAGATTGAATAATTTTAAAAAATAGAATTACGTTTTCATTACTATGTCATGTATTAAAAGGACTCTTGGTTTAGCATAAAAATGACTTGAGAGAGAGAGAGAGAAATTATAAAAGATTAATATTAAATCCAAACTAATTTTTACTGAGTAAATGAAACAAGAAAGATTGAATAATTTAAAAAAATAGAATTACGTTTTCATTACTATGTCATGTATTAAAAGGACTCTTGGTTTAGCATTAATAATGACTTGAGAGAGAGAGAGAAATTATAAAAGATTAATATTAAATCCAAAGAATTTCCAATGAGAAAGAATTTGATTTCTCCGACGGGGAGAAAAAAACAATGATAATTTTCAATACCGCGAATCTTTCTATCTTAAAAGTTACAATGCCACAAATAAACAATAATATAATTATAGCAATGAATTTAGCAATAACATAATTATTAAAGATGCACCGAATCGTAAAATTACCTATTAAATCCAAACAATTTCCAATGAGAAAGAATTTGATTTCTCCGACGGGGAGAAAAAAACAATGATAATTTTCAATATCGCGAATCTTTCTATCTTAAAAGTTACAATGCCACAAATAAACAATAATATAACTATATAGCAATGAATATAGCAATAACATAATTATTAAAGATGCACCGAATCGTAAAATTACTTATGGATATCGGATATCCAAAAAGAATGTGGCACTGGATATCCAAAATTCGGTCAGATATCCAGTAGGGCAATTCTCTCTCTCTCTCTCTCTCTCTCTCTCTCTCTCTCTCTCTCTCTCTCTCTCAATGTTACTGTATACGCAGCAAACGCTAAATATTCTTGAAATGTTTCTAAAATCCCAAAAAACATTTCAAGAATACTCCAAAATATTTCGAATATTTACGATATGTAAAAGAAATATTCAAATGTCAATTAAAAAATTTATTTGTAGGTCGTTACATTTTCCGAGAATGTTCCATATATATTCCGCAAAATTTTAATTTTTCCAAGAATTCCAGGTCAGTTTGTCCATGAATCAGTTTTTAAACAAAATTTTACTTTGAAAAAGGGGAAAATTTGTAAAAGAAACCCCGACAATTGTAAAAATAAAAATAAAGCAAGGTAATTGTTACATACCATGTAGGAAATGAAGGTGGATCAGCATACGAAGAAAAAAACAGGCAGAATGAAACGTAAAACAGCAACGAATAATACAAGCTGAAGAGAACACTAGCTTATGGAGGCAGCGGAGTAAAAAATTTAAGTAAGCGACATTTAATATGAGAAAGGAAGATCTTCCAAATTTCACAGACTTATATTTTCTCGCAGGTGATTCTTGTCAGACGAATAAATGCTCTTCGTCGCGGCCCTCTGTCAGCAAAAATGTGTACTGCTCGCTCGCTCGCAATTTTCGTGAAATATACAAGGAGTATTTAATATTCTGAACATTTCATCGACATTTACACATTCTGTGACGATTCTTTTACTGTTCCGGAACATTCGGTACATTGATAATACAAATCAAACTTTCTGTGAAAATTTAGCGTTAGCTGGATACGTATGTACTTGTTTACTATTAAACAAATATTTTGTTATAGTTTTCATTTTATAGCTCTCTGTGCTTACAATAAAAATACATTTATCTGTTGATAATCCCATCATATCTATTACTGTTATCACTTATCATTAAGGTATCATTTTACCATAACGTTTTGGAATATTTCCGATTTATTTGATGCTCCCGCTTTATTCTGTATCCTTCATTTTTTTCTATCAAATTACACACTAAGAAAAAAAGTCGAAATATTCGCAATAATAAATATTACATGTGACGTTTTCTGCGATATTAATTATAAAAAAATTCTACTGTGATAACGAAATACATTTCTGTGAAATATATCATTAATTGTAAAAAACAAAATAGATGATTTATTTACTAGGAAATTTATGTTCGCTAAAGTTTCATTTCATCGTTTTACTGAAATAAGGATTTATTTCAATAAAATAAATATAATATCTCACAAATAAATTTTTAAGTTTTTTTTTTTCAGTGACACGCGGGGGCGGATGATGTACACAGATTTTTCCTTCATCACGATCCTTTATACAATTGCGATCGTGGTGAATTATGTAATAATCCAGACAAAATCCAGAAAAGTCCAAAATCAAGACATAAGACATCTTAAAGTTATCTTTAAGACATCTTTAAAAAATGTCTTTGAGACGTCTTATGTCTTGTTTTTGAACATACGTGTTGTCTGGAAACGTTTCGTAATAATGAAGGATCACGAGAGTATCGGCGGGTCATTCGCACTCAAGGATCACGAGTACGAGCACCGCTGCCGTCACCGCGGTACTCGTATACATCGGCCGATGACTATCGCATCAGCTTCGGAGTCGGCGTTCTGTGATGGTAACAGCATCGGCGTCGGCGCGGCGTCCGCGGAGCTCTAGGTAGCTTCGCGTCGCGGCGCTTCGCGTCGGCGTCGCTGGAATCGTCCGCGAAACGGGCAGACAGTGGTGGCCAAGGCACCGTGTAAGCGCGTGTAATCGCCATATTGGCCGAACTCCGGACGATAGCACCTCGCGGGTCGTGGAGCTTTAAAGCTTCCGCGGTTGCTGCTCTTCCGACCATTGCCCGCGTCGGTACGGTCATAATAACGGGGGAAGCACATAAAGTGGAGCGAGGGCGAGCGGTTCCTGTGCGGAAAAAGAGGCGGCGAGGAAAGGACACGCGATAATACCGGATACGCCTTCGAACGCCGCATCGAACAGCGAAAAAGAGCTAGAGAGAGAGAGAGAGAGAGAGAGAGAGAGAAAAGGAGAGAGAAAGATAAGGATAAGATATAACACGCGGCATAGCAGTGACAAGTGTTATACGGATACGCGTGACATAAACCAAGGCAAGGGAGAATCGCAGCGATCAATCGCGGCGGTGCATTCAAATATCAATATCGATCTTCCTATATTCTGAGTATATATCTCTCTCAGATCTGTATCCTTCAAAGATTACTTTCGTCAATTTCGTCCGCAAACTTCCGCGTCGGATTCTGCGTCGCTTCCATTGTATCACATTTCTCGGTTCTCACTTCCGACGAGATTTCTACAAAATAACGTGTGCTCCGAAAACGGCACGGACTGCATCTCGTTTGAAATCATGCAAGGAAAGATCGGCGACTTCCAATATAATTATCAATAAATTCAAATCTCTTCCTGAAACTAATCTTCCTAAGAAGTTTTTCCATCCAACCGATTTCGCGGAGGCAAGGATTAACGCTCGATCGGAAGTCTTCCGACAGGATACCAAGCGGTCAATCGACGAGAAGCTGGCACGAAGATAGCCTTCAGCAGTCTACCTTGCCGGCGTGACAGTGCGCGAGTTCGTCTCTCCCTCTGGTCTCCACTGCTGCCAATCAATAACCGGCGTATCGGTTCGCTTACGCTCCTTTTTCTCTCTCTCTCTCTCTCTCTCTCTCTCGCTCTCTCTCTCTCTCTCTCCGTCTCTCTGCCTCATCTGTCTTCCCACTATCTCACGCTCTTACTTTCAACGCTCCTCTCTTTCTGCTTAATCAAACACGCTAACATTCTCCGATTCCTTTCATCATCTTCCCTTTTCTCCCTACCTTTTTCTTTTCCCTGTCTACCTCTCTCTCTCTCTCTCTCTTCCCTGCGTCTTCTTCCGCACTCTCGTGTGCGGGATACGCGGGACGGGCACCTGTCAACGCGATCAACAGCATCAGGAACATAAGCAGACACAGCGGTAGCGTCAGCAGCGGTCCGTGCCAGCGACAGCAGCGCAGGCATTTAAACCTGGTCGTGCCAGCGTCTCGCGCAACATCTTTAACAGGCGCGAGTATCTATTTATAATTCCGTCAAACGCAACGGGGAACGAAAACTGCAGCATCGTGTACGGCTACCTAGGTCAGCCGCGAAGAAGAGAGATGCCGACGTGAAGTTGGCGTTAATCCGAGAGCGTGGCACGGCGCGACATAGCCGCTCTTTTAAAACTGTGTAATTGAAGGATGTGATGAGTCGATCGCGTGCGACGTCCTCACTGTCATCAACGTCGTCGTCGCCCTAAAGTTCAAGGATTTGGGTCTCGGTTTGGGTTGGTTGACCGAATTTTTCGAGTCCACGATACGCAACCGCGTATTTCAATGAAACGCGACGAATTCGTTCGATCGTATCGCATTCATCCTTGAGAGCAAACGCCATCGGTAGCGAAGGATCTCCACTTCCTGTTCCTTTCAATAGCGGGTCTCGCATCCGCGCACTCTCGCCTCTCTCTTTCTCTCTCTCTCTCTCTCTCTCTCTCTCTCTTCCCCTTTCTCTCCTACCTTTCCGACTCGGCCGACCGACCAGTCGATCCGCGCGCGCGGCTGTCCCGTTAAGAGAGAAGGGTGGAGGGTGCCGCGAGAGGGTGACGGTGGTGGAGTGGTATCGTGGCGCGGGTGGTATTAACGAAGAGGATTGTCGAGAGAAAAACGACGGACGATCGGCAGCAGCGGAAAGTGGAAGACGGTGGGAAATGGATGAAATATCATGCGCGACATCGACATCGACGTAACCCTCCGCTTGTTGGGGTCCGCCGTTGTTCAGTGTCGTCGCGCGACGTCGCCATCATCGTCGGCGTAGTAACGCCTCGCCCGATCTCGAGGCGAGGAAACCGTTTCCTGCGGCTGATCGTTTGGTAGTGCGCGTACCTATGTGTCCGTCCGCGAGTCCGTGAAGGGTTCGTACGCTGGGCTGTTACGCGGTTTCGGCTGAGGGGCACTGGTGCGCGCTGGGAGCATGCGGGTTTCGGGCGAGGCCCGGCGAGGCGGCTCCGCGGGAGGACCGGGCTAAAGGAACGACCGCATATCGGAAGGGACACTCGCGAACGCGGGCACGGTGCGCCCGCGGCCGTGCCCGCACCCGCACCCCCGCGTCTCGTCTCGGCGCCGCGCCGCGCCGATTAGGTTCATCCTGAAGACGCGGAAAGCGAGCGCAGCTCGCTTTCGAACGCATGGAACATGATAGAGGTAAGAGAGTCGAGACGTGAACGTACTTCTAATCTACGTTACCGTCTGTCTTAAAGAAAGGATTAAAGACTCAGCACGCGGAACAGTAATGGAGTCGCACTTATCATCTTCCCCTGCAAGCTGTATGACTGCGGCAGCCAGTTCGATTATGACTTATCACATTATATACAATGATATTCCTCGTACAAATGTGCAGTATACATGATAAATAGTTAATTTCCGTGAAACAGAAAGTTTACAAAACTATATAACAATATAAAAATTTCCTACGTAATTTGTAACTTAATTAACGGTCATATTTTCGGTGTTTACGAAACCTTTTCTAATTTAATAACATGCAAATAAACAATGTGGCTGGATTGAATATTGAAAACCGATTGCATTCGACCGTGTTTAAATTATCCCAGTATAGAATTGAATTATTGCAAATTAATTCTGAAATAGTGTGTTGTAATAACATGAACAAGGACTCTGTTATCGCTGGTTAGAATTTCGCTCGAAATATCTGCAGCTTGCCATTCTTTCCAATGTTCACGTAGGGACATAACAAATTCATTTGTATGGACATACGCATACACTCTTGTGCGGATCGAAATAAATTCATGGGATTATCGGAGCTTGCGAGAAGAGAGAGAAACGGGGGTTGCAGCTTGCACGTGCTCCGTGATTGCGTGCTGCATGTAGCCAACACACCATTGGGCCATTGACATGTTGACACGCAGCTATGCGTAAACACTATCGCCGTTTCAGAACCGTTGTAAACACAGCGACAGTATTTGCATCTGAGAATACGCGCGATGAGAAGAAACTAATGTTCATAATTGTATTAAAAATGTCAATAATCTTCCGTGCCAAAATACACATTCCTATCCAAGTACTACTCTGTTTATTAACTATTATTGAAAATGACCCGATAATAATTAACGAACGCAAATAATTTATTTATTATTCTCATTTGCATTATTAATTATCAAATTAATTAATTAATTATTAATTACCAATTTAATCTCTTTAGCAAGCATTATAAAATCAATATGAATTAATTAACAATAGTATTTTTACATGTAATTGTTTTTATTTAATTATACTTTTATTAAAAACTAGTCTCCCGTAACGCACGCGTTTACGGATATGTGGCTTGGTAATATAAGATATTATTATATTCAAGCTACACACAGCTATCTTGAAACTAACTTATGCAAAATCTATAGATCACAATTAATCACCTAATACGAAGTGTTTCCTAAATTTCGCAGCGTTCTCCGTAAACAACGGCTCTTGTTTCCATAATGCCTGCCAAAACAAATCGCCGAGAGATTATTGAAATTTAGATCGTTATATTATCTCTCGTAACCGAAGTCTCGTTTTCGGGAAAGACGACCCGCGAGATACGAAATACGGAATTCGCTTCGTGTATAAACCGC